AACTGTTAAAAGGATAACAGTAATATCAGGACTAAAACACTTTGGGGTTATTTTCATCTGTAAGCTTTGATTTCGCAGCGAAAAGCAGGAAGGAAACCGGTAGATCTAATTTTTTAAGACCCCTATGTTGTTAGGTAGATGTCTAGTACAAATTCGAAAGTACATTCTTAAAATATTTACAATTGGGCGACCGAAAATTGATTTAACATTTGTTTACAAACTGTTTAATGAAATTAGTACATGTAATCACTTGTCAAATTTGTTTAATCTTAACTGCGTCACAAGGAGTGGAAATCCTTTTTTGAGCTGACGGAAAGAGTATGTCATAAATACCACATTTTGCGAATTCTCTTCTGGAACAGCATCCGTATGAGCTGCTATGTTAGTATTGGAATTTAGTTTTAGTTTCTAATTAAATTTATTAACCCAGCGTATCAATAATTCGGATCGTAGCATAGAGCCTTGAGGCACCCCTATCAGAACAGTAGTTTAAATCGAGAGTATATTTTTACAGTCTTTTCATTAATATTCTTTAGCGATAAGACAACGTCCTGTGAGGTAAATTTTAATACTTTTAACCAATCAAGTGGAACACCGCAAATTCCATAGTTTTTAACTTTCTAAAAAACACACAGAATGATTAGTAGGTACAACCAAAAGATTTACTTAAATCGCAAAATATGACAATTGGATAAGTTTCTTGTGAATCTGGTCTAATAGATCGTCGTAAACGATGTGTATTATGTAGGTACATCATAGAAAATAGAAATATTAGGATCTGAAGACGCACTGGTTATGACTTATTACATATTAGTCATATCCGTAATGCTATAACAATGATTTATCTTCGTTACATCGAATTTATGATAGGTTGGTACTATTGTCTTCAGTTGTATCATCCTTGCACCTATTACCTACATATAATATGTAAATATAATTTCTTTGTCAAAGCTTTCCGATTAGTAGTTGTTTTTTTGACTGCCACTTATATGTTAGTTTATTTACGCTGCTTTGGAAGTGGAAGCGTTTATATCATCAGCGAATAGTATTTGATTTTCCTCACTGGGTGACAAACATTTTTTATTTTTATAAATCAGCTCTGTTTTTAACACCAGGACTACGATATTCACTTTGTGTTCATATTTGTGGCACATTGGTCAGTACATTACAAAAAGGCAACAAATAGAGAAAAATTATAACAAAAATTAGTGCAAAATTGGTAAAAAAAGAAAATTAATTTAAATTAGTTGGATAAAGAAGTAGGAATATTTGTTGAAACAAATATATATATTAAGACTTCGCAAGTTAAACCATTTTTTGATTTAAAATACATCAGAAAACTAGACAGACATATTAAAATAAATGGAAAAAACATTAAACAAAAAGTTTAGGAACAAGATTACCAAGGACAAAATATTTGCTTCCACTCAATAAAACTGTTTAATATATACATAATATGTTTTCTTATTGTTTGCACCTATGTTACATGTTTTGGCCGTGATGATACAGTACCATCACGGCCAAAAAAATTCAAACACCTAACCTGCTCATGTCATCGAGTTTTATTTAATTTTTCAATTGTATTTGTTAAATTAAATTTGTATCTGCTTTAGAATGAACGCCTCTGATTTCCTGACGTCTTTTAACATCAACGTGACAGAGAAATTGCAAAACTCGATGACATGAGCAGGTTAGGTGTTTGAATTTTTTTGCCCGTGACCTAGTACATACGTTATATTTCTATTATGAAATTTAAAAACGGTAAGTGAACGTATAAACCCGATGTCTGGAAAATGGCAGATTAACTCTTCAGTACGTTATGTACGGGGGTTTCGGGAGTCCCAAAAAAATAATAAAAAACTTAATTTTATAAAAGTAAAATTGGCAACACTGCTCGCACCTAATGCGTGAATACCTCTGTGGCTTACTTTCTGATTTCTTAGTAACCATGGTGACTGAAATCCACCTTTCATTTAATCCATAAAAGCATAACTAAACACTAGAGAAGATGTTGAAAAATTCTTCCTTATGCATATAAGGAATATATATATTTTTTGGAAAAGTTAGTCATCAGTACTTGCTAAGATAAAACTGATTTTGGCAAATGACATACCCTCTAAGAAAAGAAAGGGCGGGTGGGCGGGCTTAGTACCTGCTAAAATAAGATCGATTTTCGTAAATAATATACCCTCTAAGAAAAGAAAGGGTGGGTGGGTGGGGCTAATACCTTCTAAGATAGAACTAATTTTGGAAAATGACATACCCCCTAAGAAAAGAGAGGGTTATGTCATTTGCCAAAATCAGTTTTATCTTAGCAGGTATTGCAACCGCCCACCCACCCACCCTCTCTTTTCTTGAGTTTAAGGAAAGCATTCTTTTTGTTTGTAATTTTTGCAAAAAAAGTCGAAGACATGATATATAAGCTCTCCAAATATCATTTTGACCACTTTGAGATGTATTTTTCTACGAATTGCATTTTCCATTTCTCTGTATAATAAGACTGGGATTTGGTTGATATTCGTGGTACTTTGTTATTAGTTAAACTAAAATCTATAAATATCACTTTTGGTGTTTTGTGAAAGAGTTTGAAAAGATTTTGGAGGCTCCTGATAATTTTGAAAGAGTTTGAAATAATCGTGGGTTCCTCTAGTGGTTTTGGCAAATGAGATACCCACTAAGAAAAGAGAGGGCGGGTGGGCGGGGCTAACCTGCTAGGATAAAAAAGACCTATTTTTGCAAATAATATATTCTTGAAGAAATTAGAGAGCGGGCGAGTGGGACTAGTAACTGCTAAGATAAGACTGATTTTAGCAAATGATGTACGTATCCTCTAAGAAACTTAATTAAATTATGATAAGAAAAGACACTAGAAGCTTGAAAGCACTTTCAAATTCTTTCCAAACAGAAATATCTAGAACCTCAACATTGTTTTAAATAAAAAAAAATAATAATAATAACGGGGTCCCAAAATTAATTCAAAGACAGGTCCCAAAATTAATTCAAGAATTTTACAAAAATAGAACACCAAAGTCCCCCAAAATTGTTTGAAATAATTTACAAAAACAATCTCTATGGGCTTCCAAAATACACTGCCCGACAAAAAAACCCGGACACTTGAATATTTGTAAATTTACGCTAATGTTTTGTGTTGTAGGAGTAACTTTTCTACTTTCTTTCTGTTTCCACATGTTGTAGATAATATTTTCTATTAATGAATACATTAATGATTTGTTTTTTGGAATATTTTGTACAAAAGTTTGACCAGTTGCAAGTGATGAAAAAAAAATTAAGTTTTTTTGTCTGGCAGTATAATACACCATGGGTATCCAAGAATCTCCTGAAGTAAAAAAACACCGTGGCACTCAAGACTTTTTCAAATTCGTAAAAAATAATACCCCAAAAGCTCAAAAGCTTTTTCTATGGGACCTAAAATTGACTGCGAACATTTTAAACGTAGGGTTTTCAAAACTTTGACAACTTTTGATAAGTCAAACATTTTTAACTGCTTAGTTTTTACTATTTTTCCCAGACTCACCAGTTGATTGTTAAGAGCGTAGTGGAGAGTTAATCCGCCATTTTCCAAACACCCAGTATAACCTGCAGTTGTAATATTAAGTAGAATGAGTTTTTAGTAAGCGTAGTTAATTAAACCATTAAACGTAAAAGTAAGTAACAAAATAGTATTTAATTTTTTACAGTTAAAGCCTCATGTGAGTACCGATTTTTATTTATTTTAACTGTAATAGGAAGATATATACTTATAACTGTGGGAACAATTAAAGTTCTCTTGTGAATGGAACTACTAAATATATTGAGAACAAACATTAAAACATATTTTTTACTATCTTACCCCTCATAGGCATAATACGCTTTCACAGAATTCAAAATCTCACTGCAAGTTCTCAGGAATCCTCTTAAAACTTATTATAAAGTTCAGTGGTATCTGTTTCTAATTTAATTAATTCTCTGTTTCACTTTAAATTGTTTTTAGTTCCCAAACATTTGTTACGCTAATATATGTATAATTTGCATTATGTATTTGTTAAAATTTGTCAGTTACAAAACTCATCTTATAATAGGATAAATTATATACTTTCAGCTATATATAATATACTTCTTTTCGATATATTTTTAATAAAGAAAATATTTTTTTTTTAATCATTTTACAGTTGTATTTAAATATGCGTTTTAGTTAGTGTTAAAATCAAACCAATAAATAAAAAATATATCCAAAATTTCTGTATGATAATGCATCCTATAACAAGAGAAAGAAAAATGATATAATTAATAATTATATGTTTATTGCCAAAATTTGATTTCGAGCTCGTCATGTATACCCCCAGAACCCCACTATAAAATTTGCAAACAAATCGTTTCAATATTTGTCAGTTTATATCAACCAAGTTTGGTTTTAAACAACTACCTTTTCCTGCAAAATATGTTCTTCACAATGCAAGCGATGTTTATCTTACAACGATAGTTCAATTTAGGTTGTGATTAATTTAACTACGAATACAAAACTGTAACTAGAGGACCCATTGGACATCAGTTTGGATTTTCCTTTAAGAGCTTTCACTGGACATACTACAGTTAAGTTGGTTGTATACGCCAACGAAATTTTATTCCTCAAAAAGAAATAAAAAATAATGCACAAATGGCCAATCGCAGTTATTTCTGAAAAATGATTACATCTAAAACACGCTATGCAGTGAATTTCAATTTAATACTTTCCCTTTCGTTATAGTGTTAATGAACGTACCCGAACGGTCTCAAGCAAGGGATGAATGAGGTGTACGTAAAAGTAACTAAACAGCAGGGGTTGGTAGAATCGATACTAGTATAGTCCATTCATTCCTTACGCATCCTCTGCCCATTTAAAAGTTGAGAAACGAGAAATGTACCGAATAGAACGAATATATTTTGAAATCTACCCTTCTTTTTTTAGGAAGCTATTGGTTTAAGAAAAACCGAATTCCCCCGCATTCGTATTTTCCGCTGTTATTTTTAGTCGCGTTTGACACGTGAGAAAGGGTGCTCACCCTTTCGAAACGAAGCAGCTGTAGACGCAACGAGTGGTGCCAACCCTAGTATTTGACGTGCCGTTCATACCCGCCGGTTTACATTTTTTTTAATTATTGAAATTAATATCTAATTATGTCGTGCGAATTTGTTTACGCAAGAGCATTGGATCCCTGTCAGTTCCCATAAATAATTAGCATTCGCGCACAATAAAACGTCAATTAACCGACAATTATTCAAAATTGGGGTAGTTGCAGCGCGTCAGGAGCAAGGACGCATTTTAGTAAACATGGCGATGTGTTTTCGGCTTGTTTGGGGTGTCCACCTTTTATACATCCATTAGATGAATAGAACCTCGAGCGAAACGGCAGCGACAATAATACACCAGCCAAAGGTAGCCCTTTCCGCCCCTTGTGGCCGTTGCGCTGTATCCGTTTTTTGTTTTTCTAGGTCATTAGTGTTTTTTAGAGTCTTTAAGCTGGCGAATTTCCGTGATGTGTGCGTGTTGAGGGCTCTCGAACAGGACCGGATTCGGAGTACGGTAATATGGATTGGTGTGGGGCAAAGCCTCGCGTCTAGTGGCGGAGTGTCATGCAGTCTGAGCCGGGCCGATACATCAATTCTGTATCCGATCTGCTCTACAGTACTGACGAAATTGAGTTTCTGCTCGACGACATCAGAGACCTGGAGCCGACAAGTTGCAAGCCTGAAGACATTCAGGTACACCGCCTAAGAAGGCACAACTTCTGCATGGCCCTTTGGTCTTGTTTCACTTTCATCGTAGCTTCGTTTTGTTTTGTTGTTTTTGGTTTTGTTCAATAAAGTTTCGTTGTTTTGTTTATTTTGAGTTTCTCTGTGAGCATGCCGTTTTCATTGAGATCATTTCGTCGATAACAGTGGCGTAACAAAGAGAAGAATGTTGGGTGCATTGTTTTTATAATGAAAAGTTTCATTTAAATCTGCGGTTTTTTATTGTCCTGTCTCTTATTAACAAGAAAAAGTTTCGATGATTAATGGTTCCATATCCAAGAGACAGACACAATGCGGAATTATATAAATTTCCCGAATTTAAAACTGGTAAAAGCATGTCTGTTAGTCATATTGTAATAAAAAAAACTATACACCACCTACCCATTTTGCTCTAAAATATTTTAAAAGCAGAGGCAAAATTTGGTAGTTTTAATTTAATTATAAAAGAAAAAAAACAAAGGTTTTGGTCTGAATAGCTATAGCACATGGCACATGCGACACGTGTTTCTTTCATTTATTATTTATTTGTTGTACAAATACATATGGATCTACTATCTAACTAAATAATTACTTATCTGTCACTTGTCTTTCTCTCTCGAATTGTTAAGTTCACACTTATTCAAGTCAGTAAACGAGTAAACCAACAAATCAAATGACAACAGACTACTGCTATTAATTTCAAGTTGGAACACATCATTAAAAAGGCGCCAAAGAAACGATTTAAAATTTACTAAAAAATGAACTGTAGCCTATTTTTGAAATACGAAGAGTAATAAACCTCTAAAAGGTAGATCCTACATACAATCGTAAGATATGCAGGATTATGTCAAAAAAATCTAAAATAATTTAGGTTTTCTGCAGTCTTTGTATCAGTAACACCAGTAACGATCATATTTAGATGACTTTTTAAAGCAATTTTCAGTTCAGCAGTTTTAAAACTCTTTGAAAAAGAGTGAAATTATTGATATTAATATTACAACTACTATGATATTTCCTTATTTTATGTAGGAAGTTTATAACCTAACTGTTAAATGAATGCCCACTGTCTATCAAAAGTATCCTGGGGCCGGATTGGCCGTGAAACAATAACTATAAAACTTCCAGGAAAGTGTCCATTGCATAAAAAAATCTTTTTTTAGTTCTTGCGGTGATATAGTACGGATACCATAGTTAAACTGTACTTTACTTTATTCCGAATCAAAGAAAAATTTAACATTTTTATTAACAATGAATCAGCGAAATCTGTCTGAAATAACAATCCAAGCACTTTGGAAGATGATAGACAACTATTGTTGAGTGAAAGAAAGGTGTGAATTACATGTAATGCCAGGATCTTTTAGAAGCACGTTTTTTTGAATGATTGTCAATTACAAAGTAGGAGGATTGTACAAGGTTTAATTTTTAAAAATCGTATTGTAACATTTATCCGCATTTACTGTTAGATTAAATTTTGTGAACCTGTCAATCATCGTATAAAGATTATTTTGAAAAATAGCAACATCATCCATTTATCGGGACTATAAATTGATGTCGTCCACATATACTAGTGGCCTCCCACTTCAACGTAGTACGCGCAACCAGTTAAACATCCATACAATTTATCGTACACAGAATATAAAACGTTTGTTTCAAGCTTTTACAACTGTAAAAATTATTCTAAGGTTATTTAAACACAACTTCCATCGCCAAGTTTTTTTTCAAATTTGAAGACGAATTTTATTTATTTTTTATGACCTCTGTAATTGAAAATAAAGACATGTATGTAGTGATAAAGTAAAGATAAAGAAACATGCTGTGCACATGCTCTTTTGTAACCCTGGCCAAGTTTCATCACATGTGGTTTTCTCAAAACTTAAAAAATACTTATTCATTATCATTAAATTTAAAAATTTATTTAACTATCCTTATCAACAATTTTGCATAGTATGTGCTACATAAATTTTATAAAGTAACATACATTTGTGGTTTATGAATCCGTATTGAGTTTTCCCCAAAACCTCCAGATTTTTGGAAAAAAAATCAAAGTTGTATAACATTTTGCAATTTAATTTTGAATTTGCAAAACTGAATGCTTTGAAATTTTGCAGATATATCCCCCAAAAAATTGATGACGCCACGTCGAAATTTTGTCGAATAAATCCCACCTAAAATGAGTACAGTATACATATTTTTTACATTTGCTTAAACAAGGTGAAAAATTAAAAAATTAATGATTGAATCAATTTATTTTATTGATTAATTCGGAAACTGCAAAATCGAATGCTTTGAAATCTTGTAAATGTTTTGAAGTTATTGGAAGTATGGTAAATTTTTAATCAAAATTTATCTGTTTGTCCCCCTCCAAAAAATTGATGACGTCATCTCAAAATTTTTCCCAATAATCTAACATGTGCAAAATTTGATGAGTCTATTCTTGTGATTTCTCATTGCTATCATATTTTTTAGATATATCTTATATGTGTCACGCTTCTTTACATTTACTTTAATATTACGTACATATCTTTATTTTCACTCATAAGGATTCGCATAAAAAATTAAATTCGCAAAATCAAATTTTAAAAAACTGTACTTCAAAGGCAAAGGAAGTTCTGTCGAAACAACCTTCGGCGATTTTTTTCGCTAAAAAACTGGATTTGTTTGATTTTATGTCAGGGGCGGCGGAAGTTTTGTCTAATAACTTCTCTTTTTTTATTGTACCAGAACACTGAAAATTTTATACATTTAAATATCGATATATGTTTAAATCCGTTCGACTCTGTTTTGAGAAAAACGCGAAAAACTGTTACTCCCTCTGTGAATACTTGACAGCTGTTTTTTTATAAGAATAGTTTGTGTCATAGTGACATACGTAAACCATATAATATAAAAATTTTGGTGGTATATTTTGAGAAATTATTAATTGAAACTTTCACTTACCTGATTTTGAAACCATCTTTTCGAATTAACTCATTCTGTAACTAACCAATAAGGATTTATCTCAGTTTGACACTAAACAATATAAAAGACGCAGGTTTCAATAATGACTATTATTGTATTGTTACGTTGATCGGGTATTTAAAAATCGGCGTGGGTAAACTCAACAATTTATTTCTTAATAACTCGAATTACACGACTGATTATTATACACCGATTATGTACAAAATAATTCCGGCAACTTGACTGTTCTCTCGTGGACTCGATTTACTGAATAATCATCGTTCCCGACGCTCTATTTCAACCTATACGTTTCTCACGATGGATCGAGAACGTCACTTCGAGGGTTTTCTGGGCCCGTCGCGACATCCGCTTCCAGGCTTTCCTTTAGCGAACGCCGCGCCACCCGGCCGATTAGTCATACTAGAAGAACCATCGGAAAAGCGTATGGGTTTATTTCGTAACAATATCTACTTTTATTAACAAAAATAAAATTGTATTCAAATAAAAAAATAAAGTAAACAAAAAAATTATTCAAAAGGGATATAAACCACTTTTTTTATAATATGATTTTTATTCAACAATTTTTTCATACAACTAGACCTGAATATCTTCAGTCTCTTCACGTAAGCAACCTTCGCCTTCTTCATCGTCAACATTGGCAGTGTATTGTTTAGCACGCCTTTGTTAATTTCATTAAAATTTCCCGGTTTTCTTCATAGTGTTTTTTTAGAAGCATATTTATATCTTGTAGTTTTACGGTTTTTGGTGGATTACCTTCTGACACTGGAACTGGATTAATATTGTCTACGGATCTTCCCTTTTTGGTTATGAGTTTATATTACCCTAAATCTGATCTATAATAACTCTTAATTCAAGATGATCATTCATTTGAAAATCATTAAATTTGTGACAATAAGAAAAACAACAGATCAGACTTTTATTAAACTAATTCTAAAACAATTGACCATGGAATTAACTGTAATATCTGCAATAATGCTTTAGAGGGTGTCCACGTTTTGGTTCACATGTTGCGGTCACCTGATTAGAATACTGAACGCTGATTAGCGAATTTGTAAAAACGCGATATATTGCAAAACAAATTTTCAGAAATTAGAACGTGTCTAATGAGTTTGATAATCCCTGACTTCAGCGAATACCCACATTATTAAATGCTAATAATAATTAAGTAAATACTCCTAAAATTTTTGGAGATGTTTGGGAACGAACTAAAATGCTGAAACTCTCCCCTACCCAAAAAGTCCCATGCAGTGTCCAAGGTGCACTTTCTTTACTGCTAACAACAGACTAAAAATCTTTACTGCAGTAGTAAACTTCAGAAACTTAACAACCAGAACTGTAAAATTAACTCGTAAAAACTAACCTTACGAATTCATCAATTCTTTTGTGGCTTACTTCCTCTAGCCGAGTTCAATACTAAGCAGCTTATTTCCGTTATTCATTCATTACTTTTCTACGTTAATCTTTAGTGTCTTTCTACTAATACATGTTCTCTATTTCTTCAACAAATGTTTGAATGTGTGGAAGGCGAGAAAAAATGTCACTACCTTCTTAGTGGAATTAAAACCCACGTCTCCCATTTGTCGGGTGGCACTAAACCCATGAGGCATCATGATTACCTTTGCTCACTTCCCACATTATATTGTGCCGCCCATTGTCAACCAGTAGTTCAAATTCTTCTGGTTCTCTTCTATTCAAAACTAAACTCTTCTACAACCCCTTCTTTAACTGGGTTGTTTTCTCACCAATCCGCTGCTACTACTTATGTTTTCCAAAGATACGAGCCCTTTAAATTCCACTTTTTGACTTCGGATCGACGCGAAATGTTGTTAACTAAAAAATAATAACCATTCGTTTTATGAATATAGGGTAGGGGAAGTCAAAAATGTTTCTTTTTTCCGTAACTAGATTAACTTTTATTGTAAAACAACTACCACCATTAACTAAGTAGTATATAGGTACAAACCAGAAGCTGCACTATGTCGCTTTATACACTGTATTCTTCTCTTTGACTGCCACTGTTAAAAAATAAATGCACACAACTAGTGTCCCATTCCACGCCGCACCACCGATGTCTACGTGAATGTGGTTGGTTTGCAGGAGCCGGATGGTATGAGTTGTGTGTTGCAGGACTTTGAGATAGCGGGCAGCAGGACGGGGGCCCTGAGCGCGGATTGTGCTGGAGGTTGCGAGTGCGAATCACCTCTGGGCACCGTTAACTCATGGGACTCGCACTCTCACTACCGCCGACGGGTCGCCTCGCCCGATCTGTCCCTATACTCTGGGGTTATCGTCTACTGCGACCACACTCATCTCAAGACGCCCACGGGTTTCGTCCGACTGCTATTACTGGTAAGTAAATATGTAGTTATTACTTATTAGTACGCGGTGGATCAGACAAAAGCTTGTGAACAACTACTGAAAAACTTTAGTTGCCAGTTATAAATGGAAAAACCTCCGTGATACGTCAATCTGTATGCTTTGGATTTTTTGTAAATTTCATGGTTGCATGCATACAAAGATTAGTAACAAATAAACCGGGGGGAAATGCTGAGATATAATAATTCCAAATATTGAAGATGAACTACATACAGAAATAGTAAATAACATTGTATACACGACCCTTATTGGCACTTCAGTTAAATTCATTACACAGTACAGCAGATACGTCTCGGTTCAACGTTTGGACACCATCAATCTTCGACCGAGGATCTGTAATTTATGTTTTTTAAACACTAGGGGCTATTATTAGTAGATATATACATAAAAATGAAAATAATATGTGTACAATACATTTACCAGACTATAGGTGGATAAATACTGTGTGTTCATTAATCATTTGCATAGTCAAAGAGTGCTGCGCGATTTTGAGCGTATGTCTTCTCGGTTTCGGATACTTTTCAGATTATGCAATTAAACAAACACGTGTGTAATGTTGGTTGCATACTGACATAAATCAATTTACAAACAAAGTTTAGCTCTTGCTTGTTGGAAACTAGAAAAACTAGTCCCAGAAAATAACTTCTGCAGATTTGTAAATAAGTTTACTTAAAAGGCGAAAACAAAGTTAAAGAAACTGTGGGGAGTGGTATCCATTCTACTGTATAGATAAATTTACACGTCTTTTCTTCTTATCAAACACACTTTGTTCTGTCTTTCAGTTCTTCTCTGGGATGAACGGGAGTTTTAAAAATAGTGTTTTTTAGACGACCGAACAAGAAGTAATCGTTGCGTTTAGGCTACCTTCTTCGAGCTAAGGGTTGTTAAATTCCGTAAGAATCAATTGTAAACAGTGTCGGAGTGTGCCGCCGGGACAGCGGGAAATTTCCCGGTGGACCCCGAAACAGTTTACTTCTTTTTTTTTTTATACAATTATTTACATGTTTCACATATCCAGGATGTTACAATTACAAATACAATAAATATTCCAAAAAATATAACACACGGATAAAAAATTGCATATGTAAATATTAAATAAGAGCATCTTTTTATAGTATAAACTCAGTACGAAACAATAGGTCTCCCGTTTCCATCTGTCTGCCTACAATAATTTACAATAATAAATATTATTAAAATTTAATAAAATAAGATACTCCTGTAGATGTGGTTTATGAACCCCTGTTGAGTTTTACCCCAGACATCTAGACTTTTGGAGAAAAAATCAAAATTTAGCTTTGAAACTGCAAAACCGAGTGCTCTGAAATTTTGCAAAAGTTTTAAGTTTATTGTAACCATGGTAAATAGTTGATAATTTTTTTTTCGTTTATGTAAAATAATAATGTCATCATTTTAATTTTTTTTCTTTAATTTATACATATTTACCAAATATAAATTTTGGTGATTCCAAAAGCATTGTTTGTTATTTCAAATCCAATTTTCATCTGAATGACTCGAGTTTAAGGATTGGATTATCGGACGTTTTACTTAGATGAAATTTCTAAATTGAAATCAATAGAAAGTAAAATGGTACGTTTCACCTCACACTTTTTTTCATCTATTTAGGCTATTTTTTTTACCTGTTTTTCGTCTATTTTAAGGTACTAGTGTCATTTTTTTAAGCAAGCAGATCAATTTTGACGTTGAAGCTTTTTATTGATTTTTTATAAGTAAATTTAAAAAAATGAATTTTTGGCGTCAAGTTTTTTTTAATGCATTTTTTAACATTCCACCCAGCGAATCCATAGAGAAACCGCTGAGTTTTAGATTTTTACAAAAAAATATAAAAAACTTATTCAACATCACAATTGGCCTGTTAAAAAAATGATGAAATACCTTATAATAAATTAAAAAACAAAATATGGGGTAAAACGCACCACTTTACTTAATACTAATTTGCCCCCTTTTGCAAACTTTTGGATGTGTGATTCATAAATCCGCGTCAAATTTTCACCATAGATATCCAGAGAATTACATACTCCATGTATGTATAATTTAGAATCCGTGTTGATTTTTCCCCTAGACATCGTGATTTTTGGGAAAAATTCAAAATTCAATTACAATTTAACTTTAAAATTGGAGAAGCGAATGTACTGAAATATTCCAAACGTTTTAAGGATACAGGAAAGATGATAAATCGTTAATCAAAATTTGTTTAATTAAGGCCTTCCCAAAAAATTATGACGTTATCTTAGAATTCTACCGAACAAATGTTTTTTAAGTTTTATAAAAAAATATGTTCTTGTATGTGATTTATGAATCTGTACTGACTTTTTATCCTTCGCATCCAGATTTTGGAAAAAAAATTGGTCTAAAGAGTTTAGACAGTACTTCCCTCGCTGTCGGAAACTTGACGACTGCATGCCTATTGTGTTTTTTTTTCTCATTACATTTTTGTAGTGGGAATTTAAAAAAAAATTGTGATGACGTCATCAACATTTTTGCAAGGACACGTATATCAGTTGGGATAGATGTAGTGTAATACTAAGAATAAAATTATTGTATTCCTAAATTTTCGGGAAAATGAATTGGGTCGTTTTGAATATTGATTTCTTATAATCAATAAAATAACGAAACAATTTACTCACGTATACGGCGCCGGTGTGTAATATCTAGAGAGCGGATTTCTGTCGGGCTAGGCAAGGCCAAACTCGGTACGGCTCGTACGGGATGCGAATTCATTGCGGTTGCGGACTGCACTTCGTTTATTTGAGATTAGAATAACGCTGTTTCGTTGCACTCTGCTGTTAATTCCCGTTCTCATTTACTTAGCCGTTTGATTAATAAATCGTTAATTATATTTATGGAATTAGTACCGATTAAATTCAGTGATTATCTATCACCCGGCGATCCAGCATGTCCCCCCCTATAATCGTGACGTAGCCCGACAGAAATCCGCTGTCTAGTAATATGAGGGGCAGCTGAAAATCGTTTATGTATAAACATTCTTAATTTAAGATGACAAGCGTAACAGCATACGTGAGAGTCAAACAGAGAAACTGTAAACAAAACGACCATCGGTTTTATTGCTTCGACTTCCGCTTATTATATAAAACATTGGGTTTTATTTTAATTCTTGACGGTGAAATTCACAATTGGTTGATTATAAACATGTCTATTCCACATTCGCGGAACCAAGTGAGCGCATAAAACTAATGCAGGTCTGTAATGTTAAAGTCGATGTAAATAAGCGTGCTACCCTTATGTTTCAACCGAGTTTTTCCTTTAACAAATTTTGTGTCTACCAAATTGGGTTGGTTGGGGTGTAATACTAATAATAAGTGTTGCCTTTAATTTAATCAATAAAATAAATTGACTTCATTAATTTTTTTGAACCACCTCTTAAGAAAATCTAAAAAATATGAATGGAATGATAAATCACAAGTACAAACTCATCATATTTTTTGCATTTTAGATAGGATTTATTCAGCAAAATTTAAGGGTGACGTCATCAATTTTTTTAGGAGGGATGAACAAATACATTTTGAACAAAAGTTTACCATGCTTATAATAACTTTAAAATATTCCCAAGATTTCAAAGCATTCGGTTTTGTAATTCCCATTAATGCCCGAGTAATTTTTTTTTTATTATTTTGATAAAAATTAGCAAAACTTAATGCAATAGCCCTTCTAAACACAAACTAGCAAAAAAAAACAACTTTTTTTTTGTTAACTATGTTTATTTTATCGTATGATATTTCATACGCTGGTCAAAAGAGTGTATGTGTAAAAAACTTTTATTGAAAAATTAATAAAAAAATACTACTTTTTTCACAAAATATTTATTATGGTGTGTGGTAGGCTCTAAAACAATGTGCTGGATGGAGGCCTACATTGCACTTAACACATACAAACTTAGCACATTTCCCACAAAAACCGCATTTTCGTTGCGTACTGTTGCTATCTACCAGGTGATCCACGCCATTGTATCTAATTTCGGGCAAAACGGCTCTAGTACATTTTGGTTTTGGTCCACCCAAATGTGGAAGCGATGAAAGCAAAGCTAAAACTATTCTGCGAACGAATTCTAGTAAACCAACTTTTGGATGTGCAAATCTATACAGTATCCACATATTTACAACTGCTCCGTTAAAACAAAATCTTACATATGGGCAATACCACTTTTTGGAACGTATGCGAATGCGATATAAGCCTCTCATTTTATCAAACAAATCAACTCCCCCCATTCCTTGGTTATATATGCTGACCAAAGATGGTTGTTCAATTGACACTGTACTTTTATCCTTTCTAGACCATCGCTTGCACGAACCCTTAGATAAGCATATGTCATTGTTGATTAGGTTTGTTGCTATATTAACTTGATTATTATCATGCCATCTCACCAGTGTAATACTACCTTCCTTCTCTTGTAACACATAAGAACTTCCACGTTTTTCTTTCTTCAGATCTTTGAGAGGCGCTTTATCAATTCTGTCTGCTCGAATTGTACCAATGCAATTTATATCATAAGCTCGAAGATTATGGAGCAATGAAAGGGAATTAAAAAAGTTATCTAGATAAACCGTAAAAAAAACTGTCTTACCTTCTACCGCCCAAGGTATGATTTTTCATACGCAAGCTATTGAATTCAATTTTAGGTAAAAAAAAATGCAAAACATGTGAAAAAAAATTATAAACAAAATCTACAGACTTTATTTTATATATATCGCAAGAAACATGCATGGATTTTTCTCTTGTAGAAAAAATAAAAAATTGTAAACTTACCTCTTACTCATTCTGCAAAAAATGAAGGACACCGTTTTGCAAAAACCAATATGATAATGTAACTTTGTTTTAAACAATCTCCAATAAATAAGCACTCGAAAGACCATTAAAAAAGGTAGAGTTTGATATATTTCAAAAGCCGGTTCGTTGTCTTTTGTTTTAAGTACCTAACCTCAAACAGTCCCGTTCAT